GGGCCATGATTTCCTCGTGGAGCAACAAGTCGCTTGGGACTATAGCGGTTGCATAATCCACCTGGGGAAAGAAAGACGTGTTTCCGTGAGTTGGAGAAATCCAGTAACTCCGGTCACCGTAAGAGTGGACTTAACAACCGCAGGATTACCCGAAGGAGAGTACGGTATGCGGGTCAAAAAAGTCCTTTGCCAATATCCGGAGGTTTTCTCCGGAGAGGTAGGCAGAACTCGGGTGATAGAGCACCAGATCCGTCTCAAGGATCCAAATCCGGTGGCTCTAAACGCTTACGGGTACTCCCGAGAGAAAAACGAGGTTATTGCCAAAATGGTGCGAGACATGGAAGAACAGGGTTTTGTTGAACCTAGCATATCTCCATGGGCTGCACCGGTGGTACTCGTGAAGAAAAAGGATGGCTCACGTAGGTTTTGCGTGGACTATCGCCGTTTGAACATGCAAACGGAGTCGGACGCTCACCCGATGCCGGACCTTCATGACATGGTCCGAGGAATGGGTGGAGCGAAGATTTACAGCACCATGGATTTGAAATCAGGATATTGGCAAGTGGGTCTCTCACCAGAGACACGTCCACTCACGGCGTTCAGGACCCAAAGAGGATTATTCCAGTTTAGAGTAATGCCTTTTGGACTTAAAAACGCCCCCGCCACATTCTGTCGCTTGGTAAGCGAAGTCTTCCGTGGGTTAGTTGGTAAATTTGTGTTGGTTTATTTGGATGATATTGTGGTATACTCGGAGAGTCCCGAACAACATCTAAACCACTTGCAGAGAGTCTTGGAGCGACTCCAGTCTTACGGTCTGACGTGCCAACCGAAAAAATGTACATTCGGGGTGACACAGATCAAATTCCTAGGTCACGTCGTGGACGGTGAAGGAATAGACCGGGAACCGGAGAAACTGACGGCAATTCAGGAATTACCGGTTCCAAAGAAGACAAAAGACGTGTTACGGGTGTTGGGCGTTTGTGGTTGGTACAGTGAGTTCGTGCCACACTACGCCGAGATCACAGCACCACTCACGAGTCTGTTGGCAAAAGGGACCAAATGGCGTTGGTCAGAAATTGAGCAAGAGGCGTTCCGGAAGTTGAAGGAGTCTTTGGTGTCCGCACCACGGCTCTGCCCTCCTCTTCCGGGTAAGCCATTCAATCTACAGACCGACGCAAGCGAAGTCGGAGTTGGTGCCGTGCTCTTCCAGCGGGGGGAGAGTGGTGACAGGAAAATCATTTCCTACGCCAGCAAGAAACTCAATCCAGCACAGGGAAGATACTCGGCAGTCGAACGTGAATGTCTAGCCATAGTTTGGGCGGTTGACAGGTTCAGGCCGTATCTTGAGTCTGGTAAGTTTATGTTATTCACAGATAACGCGGCACTCCGATGGTTACAGCAAGCTCGCTGTACCAACAGCAAACTAACGCGATGGGCGCTACAACTCGGGGCTTTCGATTTTGAAATCCGGCACGTACCCGGAGTAGAAAATGAAGCAGCCGACGCGCTATCCCGTTGTCCGGTGGGACCGAATACAGTGGACGAAGAATCGTTGGAGAACAATATCCACGATCCCCCAGTGATTCGGCCCGGAGTGTCCGGAGGAACTTCCGGAGTCTTCGGCGATCTGTCCGGCGTGTCCGGAGGATCCGGTGTGGGTGTCACCCAGTGTGGAGCGATCCAGCCGAAGAGAAATGACGGAAACGTCACATTGCAAGCTTTCCGAGAGTGGCAACAAAACGACCCGAACATAAGGGAGATAGTTACTAAACTCTCCGGAGATGGTGCAAGGTTCGGTCGGCTTCGGAAGTTGTACGTCATCCGGGACAAGGTGTTGCACCGCCACCCACGATCCATCGCACATGGAGAAGAGGGGGTGGTCGTCCCGGTAGACAAGGCCCAGATTCTGCTACAAAGGTTTCACGACCACAAAGCAGCGAATCACCCAGGGTGGAAAGAAACGTACCGAAGTATAAAGAGTCGTTTCTTTTGGGCCGGTATGCGTGAAGCAGTGCGTAACTACGTGCGGGCGTGCGACGTCTGTGCACGTGTAAAACCACTGAATCGCAAACCAGAAGATCGTATACGCACCAGAGTCCCACGGCAACCTTGGGAGGTGCTGAGCATCGATCTTATGGGTCCATACCCACGAACGCAGCGGGGTAAGACAACGATTTTGGTAGTAACTGATTGTTACAGTCGCTGGGTAGAGGCGTACCCCCTAGGAAAGGCGACGACCAAATCGATTGTGGATACATTCGAACGGGAGTTGTTCCCACGGTTCGGGTACCCGAGGGCATTATTGTCGGATAATGGCCCGCAGTTCGTGTCCAAGGCAATGGGAGACGCACTAAAGAGGTGGGGAGTGGAAGGATGGACGACTCCAATATACCACCCACGTGCCAACCCGGTAGAAAGGCAAAATCAAGAACTGAAGAAAGGGTTCCGAACCTTACTTGTTGATAAGCCTCATCATCTGTGGGATGTCTACCTGCCGCACGTGTTGTTCTCCGTAAGAAACAGAGAAAACCGAAACACCGGACAGTCACCGGCCAAAATGATGTTTGGCCGGGAGATCAAGGCCCCCGGAGATTGGCAGCTCGAGTTGGCCGAAGGATCTCCGGACGCGGGAAAAAATGATCCGGAGTTGTCCGAAGCAGTGTGGAACCCTCCGGTGGAAATCGAAGGTTCCCCGGTGGAACCGGATGATGCCACTGTGGTAGAGGGGGGTAACCCGGTAGTCTCCGGCCCCAAAGCCCCCAGTACCCATATACCCCTAGAACCCCCGGGAAGAATTAGTCTGACAGTCGGGGATTGGGTATACTACAAAGCGCATCCGCAGTCAAGTGCGGAGAAGCGTTTTCACGCGGGGTTCGCCCCGAAATGGTTAGGTCCGGTTAAGTTGGGTAAACCACTAGGAACCGGAGTGTTCTTGACGGAGGGTAAACACCCTATTAAGTTACATGTCTCAGCGATGAAGCTAGCTGTAGGACCGTCAGAGAACACTAACTAACCATACATTGTTTCAGATGGCAGAACGACCAAACCAGCCACCACCAAACCGCAACCACCGGCCATCCCGCGGCATGATTGCCAGGCATGCGGAAAAACTCCGGGCGATGGCCGCGCAGTTGTTGCGGGAAGCCAGGAGGCTGTCGGGCGATGGTCCGGAGGACACGGTTGGCGGTTGGTCGGCCGAACGCGCGGCCACCGCATCGTTCGGCCGGATACGAGCAAGCCCGGTTGCGTGGGCCTTGTTCGAGCGGGGGTTCGCCGAGGGACGCCGGTCCACTCGAGCAAACACCCCACAGCCAGGAAACGCCAGGGCTCGGGCAGGACCTCCGGGGAGGGCCCCACCCCGCCAAGCAGCGCCGGCGTACCAGCGCCACGACGTCCGGGATGGACGTGGTCGTTTTAGGCGGCAAGCGGTGCAGCCGCAAATCGACCCGCCAGCAGTACAGCCGCAAGCTCAGCAGCCCGAGGTGCAGCCGCAAGATCAGCAACCCGTGGTGCAGCCGCCCGACACACAGCCAGAGTTCCAGCCGGCCCAGCATCCAGGCACCCAGGAGCAGCAGCTGGCCGCGGTGGAGCGGTGGATCCAAGCCATGGAGGTGACACCCACGAACCCGGTCATCCTCCCCGTGGACTAGGTTGCTCGGGCGCGTCTCGTGGACTCGGGGGGGAGTATGTCGCGGTCGTTATCGCAACGACCGCGGCGTCTCTATCGACGTCCACGAGATCGCGACCGACAACCGGTCTGGCCGCCGCCTGCGGCACGGCCGCCGGCCCGGCCAGCGGCGGTGGCGACGGGCATCTCTCGTCGGACCGTTGTCAACGCCGCACGCGTATTATTATAATAATAATTAACTATATATATTACCTGTGCAATATACGTCGTAAGTACCTACTTAACGTGTTCGTCGTCGTTGTTATTTACAACCCCTACAAACCGTTCCATTACCTACATAATCGGAAGACACACTGAACTAGACCTTACAAGCAAACGTCTTTTGTACGTAGCGATAATTAAATCAATATGGACCTATGGAATACAACTGTGGGGTTGTGCCAGTAAGTCGAATATTGAGATTATTCAACGCTGTCAAAACATTGCTCTCCGTACTATTGTCGCAGCTTACCGGTACGACAGAAATGACACTATCCACCGAGACTTGATGATGCCCTCAGTCCAGGACGAGATTACAAAGTTTGCCCGAAAACACGAGATCAACACACCAATCCAGCAGCAATTCAACTACTTGACAACTCTCAAGACATAAGGCGTCTCAAACGCCGAAGACCATATGACTTAGTATAAAATGTTAGACTAAGACCGGGCCTCTCCATTGGGAGTGATAACCCAAACATGTTTTTGTTTATATATATCTACAAAATATTATTCATTAGTATCTTATATTTATGTATACCTCTGAAATGTATTGTTAAAGATCATTGATCGTTATAATAAAAAGCCATCAGGCAGTTAAAAAAAAAATTTAAGATTCACTTTAATATCTGGACTATTAGATTTGATTCCTTCTCCTGTATATTTTCTGTTCAAGCTATCAAATAAATTGTTCATGTGCAATACAAATTTTGATGTAGGTTTACAATCGTCTAACTCTTCAACTAGTCTTTCTCTATACAAATTGAGTCCAACACTAACAGATTTGCTAAAAACCTATAAAATATCAAGTATTTTATATATATTTAAAAAATAAGTGAAATAGCAAAACGTTCAATATAGTAAATAGTGTAAAATTACTTGGGTCATCAATGAAACTCTCATTTTTGCAAAAGAACATGGATATATATGGGATTCTGTTAATTTTGGACAGATTCTTATATTACCCACATTTATTTTATCCTCTTTATGTAACACCACAACGATATGTCTTCAACGAGCCAAACCAAAACTTGTCTAATGGATAAATAAAATGTTATGGTTATAATTTATTAAGAAACCTTTTAAAGTAAAAAATTAGGTTTAGAAACTTAATTCATACCATAAGTTCATTAGATATAAGACGATTTCTAACACATTTAAATAAATGTGGAACATCTGAAAGGACAAATACTTTTCTTGAGTCATCATAGGGGTTTTTAAATGAATTTTTTATTTTACCCAGTTCCCCTGATATACCAAATTCTTGCCACATGCGTCTATTTGGTTTAGCACCATCACACACTAAGGCAGTTACTTTTGCACCTGCATATTCTAACATAAGAATAGCTTGGATAATTAGTTTGGCAAGAATAACTCCAGTAGTTGCACCTTTTGCTGCAAAACATCCAATTGGCTGAAAATTGTTTTCATAGAGCGAGGAAAATCCAAATACTAGAGTGTGGTCAGCTAATGAATTATTATCGGTACTGTATACATCATCATCACCAAAATCAACCACGCCTTGATATCTTAAACTTTTTGGATCCAATTTTAATGACTTACGGACACTCATCTCGTCAAATATTAATATGCCATGTTTCTGTTGTTCAGATTTTTCCTCCATTTTCTTTTTAAAAGCTTCAAAAAATTGTTCGTCAAGACCACAGTTAAGCTTCACACGACTAAGTTGCCTTTTTATGGTTTGACTACATGGAAGAGGTAAAAATAGATTTAATATATATTTGTACAAAGCAGGACCACATATGCAAGAGAATACAAGTCAAGTGCCAATCATTTGAATATCTTCGACTTGTTTTTGCATTATATTTTCCAATAAGCATACATTCTTTTATTGCCATTTATTGAGAGTAGGGCAATTTCAGACATTTTATATGATCATCAACAGTATTTTCAGAAATGTCAGTTAATCAACAGATGGAGTGTGTACAAATTATTTTTCAATTGTCTATTTTTGTATAAGAGTCTTAGTTTTACTTTGTTTGAATTATATAATTTACGCTTCAAAAGTAATTTTTTAATAGGACTTAATAAAGTTTAAATTTTTGGTTTATTGTTAGAAATTTGAAAACGAGATTTTCGAGTCTTGAGAGCTTTCTCCAAATTAAAACAAGGTTGACAGATTCATTTGGAATGCCTCCTCCTCCCGAACTTGTAAAATATTTAGGTGAAGATAACCTTCAATATACTGATGATAAATTCCAAGATTATGATGATCCACCTATATGTGGACATTTGTGTTTAGAATTTATTAAAAACAATAAACAATTTATTTAAAATGTAATAATATAATATAAAATAAATGGTGACGATCTAATATATTGTCCTAAATGTCAAATTCAAACAAAGAATATTAATACAACTAAAATTCAAACAGCTAATGGTAGATGGAGAATTTCATCAAAATATTTCAAGTGTAACACAAATAAAAGTAAATTTATAAAAAATCCTACAATTGGACATAATATTTCCAATAAAAAATTAAATGATTAAAAAAATAAATGATATTAGCTAAAGAACTTCATAAACCAGTTAGAAAAAAATTTCCTAAACGAAGAATTTTTACTAAAGGTATTGATGATTTATGGGCTGCCGGTTTAGTTATAATGAGAAATTTATTATTCTGATGAAAATGAGGGTTATTCTTATATATTAACTGTTATAGATACATTTTGAAAATTTTCTTGGCCTTTAGAACTCAAAAAGAAAGACGGAATTAGTGTTTCAGAAGCATTTGAAAAAATAATAAAACAAGGTATATCACAAAATCATGAAGCACCGAATTTACTTAACGCAGATAAAGGTTTGCAATTTAAAAATAAAAATTTTAAAAAAGTTTTGCAAGAATATGGAATTGAAATGTATCACACCCGAAATGAAGAAAAATCGTCAATTATCGAAAGATTTAATAGAACATTAGTCAAGAAAATAAGATTACATTTTGAAGTTACAAATTCTAAAAAATATATTATAATTTTATAAACTTTAATAGATGAATATAATTTCAAAGACATACATCGATCTATTGGTATGAGACCTTGTGAAGTAAATAAATCTAACGAAGATGTTGATTTCCACAAATTATTTTCTACAAAAAACAAACCTAAACAAAAAATTTAATTTAGTGTAGGTGATAGAGTAAGAATAACAGCTTCTAAAAAAACATTTGGTAATAAATATATTAATAATTGGACAAAAGAAATATTTATAGTTAATACAATTTTATACACAAATCCTATTACGTATACAATTATAGATTTAAACAATGAAGAGATTATAGGGAGTTTTTATAACGAAGAGTTACAAAAATCAAAATTTTAATAATATGTCCTTAGTTAAAGGAAGTAATAAGGTAGTCCACCAAAATTATTGTATTAAAATATAATATTCTCTATAATAAAGAATGGAAGGATTAAATAAAATTGAACTTTTATTTAAAGAAATTGGTACTTATAATAAAATGGATGTATTAAATAAAAAAATATATCCTGCTATAACTTGTGATAAATGTAATTTAATAATGTAGTATTTAAGGTTCAACCGTAATACTAAATAATCAATAATTAATGCAACTCTTATTATTACATAATGATTCTTTATTATAATTAACAACTGTTACATGTCTATCAAGCCAATGCTTCTTATGCCGTAGCCTGCCATAGACATACTGATTAAGATCTATCGCTATCATATTATCCTATTACAAACATAACTGTGTGTCATTGTGACCAACATTACAACTCAAACACTACAGTTCCTCCTCACTAAATAAAAAAAATAAAATAGACCTTATTTATAAAAATATTTAAAGTATACAATACATTTTTTTTTTTTTTAATTATAAATGATACAAAACATGTATATATATATAGTGTAATTACAATCACACAATTGGAATACATTTTTTTTTTTTTTTAATTATAAATGATACAAAACATATATATATATATAATGTATTTACAATCACACAATTGGAATACATTTTTTTTTTTTTATTAAATTAATTACTACAGAAACATATTTATCTTATATAGGTATACATATAGAAAGTAACTAATAATTATAAATTTAAACGATTAGGTGCTTTAATTACTCTACCACTCTTCCTAACCAAATTCTCACATACTATATTATCATCATTCCCATCTTGTTCATGTAAGACCTCCTCACTACCAATAGTTCTCTCCTCAAAAGATTTTTCTGCCTTATCATCCTCCTCACTATACGGATTTACTAATACTGTTTGTTCTATTTGACCACTAGGAATCTTACACTGCCTGTCAATTATTTGATTTAGATGTCTCTTCACAACATTATTATCTCAAGTTTTAATTAAGTAAGTTACCGGTGATAATTTTTTCCACTCATTACCCGGTATCCACTTATCCCCTGTGCTATAATTCTTACACATTATGCTATCTCCAACTATATAACTCTTCACTCTACCTCCTCTATAGTTCTTTTTAGCATTTTCCAAACTTTTATTATATTTATGTTTAGCAAAAGGTACTAATCTATCAAGTGATGTATTTAAAGGCCTGCCTAAATGCAACTCATCTGGACTAACTCCAGTCGAAGCTACAAGTATTCGATGGTATATTATAAATGAGGGGTATGACTCACGTAGGTGCCTTGAACAAAACAGCCGACTCTGCTGGTGGTGTTTGGTGGGGCGTATAGTACCTGGATATGACTGTCGGGCGTTGGCTCGTCCTCGACGTATATCGTTTTTACTTCTCCTACAGTGACGTCTTCCCAGTGGTGATGTGGTATGTGGATCGACTTGGGTTGCGGCGGCGGCGTGGTGGCTGTTACTACAGCTCGTCCTACAGCGGCGGCACAGCGATGTTGCGTGGTATGGCGCAGGTGGCGCGTCCTGTGATGACGGCGACGGCACTTCAGAACTGGTGCGTACGGTTGCGGCGACGGCGCGTTGTGGCGGCGGCAACGATAACGCACACACAACTAGCCGCTGCTGTTGGGCGTCGGTGGCTTGAACAGTACGTTTTTAGGCGTACCACCACCGATGCTTACCAGAGGGTGTTGCTGTGAGGGTTCTTCCTCTCCGTCGCTTTTAGTATGAGTGGCTTGAACAGTACGTTTTTAGGCGTACCACCACTCACACTGCGAGTATCGGGAGAGGGATAGTGCGGGAGAAGAGAAGCGCGATACGATTTTACGTTAAAACATAAACGGATAAAACTGTGTTATGGATTATGTGGTGTTTTGAGTGTATGTCGTGACCAGTATATCTGTGGTTCACTAGTACTCGTTTCCGTTTACCAATATGGTACCTAAAATTTGTTCGAGTTTCGTGTTAACCGAAATAATTCGTATAAACCGAGGAAATAAAAAAACCCCTATCTTATAGTATAGAGCCTTTCTCTGGACTGAAAAACCGGTTCGCGTTATACAATAATTTGTGTTAACCGAGTTCGTGTTAACGAGGGAGTACTGTATACATGGTAGATGTAAAGAGTGTAACTCCACATTGCAAGGTTATGTTAAAGAAGTGCCTTCCTTGAATGCTAGGTTAGTACATTTAAATAAATTGTAGAAATGTATAAAATATTAGTTTTCATAAATTAAAGAACAATTATTTTTTGTTTAGAGTTGTAATGCAGTGTTCATATGTGGGTCAATTTGATATACAGTACTCCCTCGTTAACACGAACTCGGTTAACACAAATTATTGTATAACGCGAACCGGTTTTTCAGTCCAGAGAAAGGCTCTATACTATAGATACTATTCAAAGTCGCATAATCTGATGCCGGTCGTAAAGCTTTGTTGCCGACGCGCTCTCTGTGTGGCGTCTTGGCGGCACTCTCATTCTTACAAAGTAGGTGTTTTCTAATGCAGTTTGGTTACAACGACATCACGGTGTGTTTCATTGGTCTCTAGTACTGTTTGGGATTGATGTTTGCGCTTTTCCGAACTTGTAATAAGTATTTATTACAAGTTTACTGTAAGTAGGTACGTACGTTTACCACGAGGAACATCGTGGTATCTTGATTCGTGCATAGATGGCGCCACGTATTTCGTCATTCGTAAAATGTATCGATAATTGTGTATCGTTACAATGCATTACCAATAGAAATTAAACATAGTAACTCTTTTCAGATTGTTAAACAAAATATCACACTAATGCTACCTATACAAGAACAAAATATTGACAGACTTATACCAAGTGAATAAAACGATGTATTTCTTATTATAATATAATATTATATTAAATCATTTATTATCATTTATTGATAATATAAGTTTTATTGCTATAGGTGTATTGAATTATTTAACTACACATTTTTTACATAACACTACATTATTATATTATATATAAAAACAAAAAAAAAAAAATTGTGTTAATTTATAATGATATTTTACTTATGTGAGGAATGTGTATTGCTAATTATAATAATGTAATTTATAAAATTAACTATTTAATGAATTTATATTTAAAATTGTGAGCTCGTGGGATCATGGACCCATTATCTTCATGAAGAAGAAGTGAAAATAAAAATAATCCCCTAGTAATTTTTCAATTATTAATGCCCCAAATTGAATTTTATCACATAACTTGATGTCCTTCGATATTTTACTATTGA